TTTTTTTTATTTTTTTTTTTCTTTTCATGTGGTTGATGTGGCATCAGACTGTTGTTCTGGCTATCCCTTTCCTTCTCCATTTGCTATTCTCCAGACACTTCCCCTAGGGGCAGTTTTCAGGAAGCCTATTGCAGCATGTGCAGGTGTTCTGGCATTCTTAGAATAGATGACCTATTTCCCCAACACAAGCATGTACAGCTCTTGGAGTTATGTCTGCCCATCAGTTAAGTCATTTTTRTTTCTGTTCCTTTGCTCTGATTGCCTTTGCACTACATTGGAATTAAAAATGTTTTTTACTGAATGCTGAAAGTACCTWATTTACTAGTTTAATTTACTGTTTTTATTCCAACTGTCTTTTATTTCTGTGGATAAAAAAGATTTGCTAGTTTGGGTTACTTTCTCTTGCAAGTCTGAATGGAAGTTCAATTCTTGCTATTCTCTTGTATACGTAAAATCTCGATTACTCCCCCAGTATTTTGTCTCTACAAGCAATTTTCTTTTTGATCAATGATTTAATCTACAAATTGCAAACTCCCTATTGYAAATCCCTTTATTTTCTGCTGACTTTTCATTCTGTTTCATCTATAATCTTTCCCTACTGTTTTYTCTCCCTTTCTTTCTTTGTTTATGTGTTCAAAGAAATTTTGTAACAACCACCTTAGTAAAATTCCAAGGTTCTTGCAGAAACCATTCTCTATTCTGTGATAATGAATATTGTTTGGGAAATCTGCAGGTAACTAACAGAGTTTTCTGAGAGCCAAATTGAAGTATCATATATGAATGTCCCTACATTTTCTGAATATGCTTTATTTTACATTTCTACAGCCAATAAAGAATAAACYTCTCTTGAAAGAAAGAACAGGCTTATTAAACTTGTTTCCTAGCGACTAGGAGACAATGCTCAACATCTAGTCTTGACTAAGATAGGTGCTCTGATAAAACAGCCACTTCTTTAGTAATTTGGCAAACTCTTTGGCAAGCTCCACTGAAGCATGTGAAGGACAAAAGCATGATAACACATACCATCACTTCCTTTGCAGTTAAAAAGTCTCCTCTAATTTCCCACTAGGAAACAGTGATACCTTGTGTAAATGAGTCACTTCAGATAGCCTGAGAAGCTTTCTAATGGCTCACATATTCTACATCAGAATTGCGTATATTATTTTTGTATGCAAAAAGAGAACATTTCCAGAAAAAATACGAGCATATTTTTAATTATTTTTTTCTGAACAAATGGAAAAACATTGCTTTCTTTTTCCAAATACCTGCCAAGAAGATAAAGATGGRTATGTGGCCTGCTGTAAAATCTCATCTGAGGTATACAACACGTGCTGCAAATAAGACACGGAAACGTGTTTTTAAATGTTGATATGAAACATAGCACACAGAAAACTTCGGATGTCAGGCCAAGAGTTTGCCTCTTGTAATGACAGATGAAAGTTACAGAAAATTCTATCTGATAAATAACATTCTTCCAAAAATACTGTTTAGTTCACTAAGTATAAATATAGTGTAGACATACACAGACTTTTAAAAATACGCTTCTATTGAATGTCATTTCAGTTCCTGGGGAGCAAACCACCTCTTTCAACAGCAGCTTTATCCAACCTCAAGCACAAGTCAATTGCCAATGAAACTTACTGGCATGATGGAATGTTGTCTTTGATKATGCATTTCCCTCCATTTTTGCTGTACTCTTCAGGACAAACTGCAAACATAAAGGTAAAAAATGTAATTTCCCCCTCTGTGTTATCACACTTGTCATTKTCTGGTTTTCAAAATGGCAAAATATTCCCACCTTTCCTTTTGGAGCTTARTGCTTACAAATCTTCTTTTTTTAGATCTGGACTTGGTGATACAAGTATGAAGTCATAACTGTATAACAAGAAATGGAGTGCTCTTGAGCTTTTAGGAATCCAGATGCTTCACTTGAACAGGCTTCAACCTTTTCTCAAGAGAGAATTTCATCTGACTGCAGAAATGGAGGTTTTGCCCCTTACTTGATTTTCAAACAATAGGAATATGTAAARTAAGACCCAGAAGAATTGAACTAATATTTAATTAGTACCTGAGTCTATGTTATTAATAATAGCTTTTATATAGGGCTGATGAACAGACACTCCTATGTGACCAACCCTTTTATTAAACATATTCAGAATTTTAACACTTAGAATCATATTCTCACAGGAATTAGAGAAACCAGGCTTTGAAAGTCAAAAGATGTTTAAGTAGTTAGATATTCTGTTAAAGACTCTTGTAGTTAGATATTCTATTAAAAACTCTTGATGTCCCTTAATATGGATTTCCAAATCATCACATTTAGTTTTACTGAAGCTTAGTTTTGCACTGCTTTAGTAAGAAAAAACTCAAAATCAAAATAGAATTACCTCAATCTCCTTTAGTAAGAAAATAACTGGTAATATAAAAATTGCACCTAAAGAGTTTTGGATATATCAACATGAAATTGTTTATTGAGGAACACAACAGTGATATTCAGTGTGGATACCTCCAGTTTCAGGATTAATTTCTGAAAAAAAATACATGCTTAAAAGATCTGCTTTCTGAYAAAATACTGGAAGATTTGTAATTTACTGCCATGCAAGTTTATGTTCTATATCTGTCTACATTGAACTAATTTCTGAATTTGTTCTTTTTTCCTTTAAAATAATTTTTATTTATCAAGTACCTGAACAGCCAGACTCATTGAGGCTGGAATCAACACAGTCTGCAATTCCATCACAACGCTGGGAGAGTGCCATACATTGACTGATTGGTGAACATAACAAAGAACCATCAAAACAATCTTTAATGGCTGAAATGAAGAGTAACATTGTGGGTATCATCAGCTGTATATTTTTTTCTCACTGTTAAAAAGCTAACAGAAAACTTGATTTGTGCTGTAGGATACGAACTTGCATCTGTGTGACCTCTACAAGCTTTCATCTTCAAAGAACGCATCTTTACTACTGAGATGCTAAATAAGTAAACAAATACAGAAGCACAGATGGTACAGAAACCAAATTTTCCCATGTAATATTTGTGAAGAAAAGAAGTGAATACTAAAACGTTGAGAGTGTATGCTGCAAAATCCCAAAGAAAATCCATTAAAAGACATCACAAAACATGATCAACTCTCATTCARAAACTAGTTTTAAAATGATGGAATTAATTTTTAAGCACATTATTTAAACACATTACAGGAGATCAGTCATAGCAATGGATCTCACTGCAGAAAATTTTGCAGTTAAGGGCAATGACACCAAGTTATTGGTGCTGAGGAAAAGAATATTAAGATCACATGGAGGCACTAAAAACAGTGAAGATATGAAAGTGAAAAGAYCTGATTTTCATCTATATTTAATTTTCCAGGTGCAAATTAAAGGGATAATGATACCACAGCCTGTTTGAATGTATAATTTTTTTTAATATTTCATAGGTATTTAAAACTTACCAGGACTACAAGAGATACATTTTGGTGTGCTACAGCAAACTGAGAAATGACTTTTTATTCATTGCAATCAGATGATGAAGGTGGGAAAGTATGTTGGTCTGTGGAAAAGTAATGTATGCATCCCACTGGTGTTAATATGTTTGTTTTACACCCTTACTGTTGTAGTCAGGGAAATAAATGATTACATAGGTGAGACAATATACCCTTCACTAAAATTAACAGCAARAAGAGAGCCAGCCAAGTAGAACATCTATAACAGGAAAACCGGTCCACATTTTTCTTGTTAAATGCAGCAAGTAATAAAATCCACTACATTTGTTGGTATAAACCAGTATTAGCATAATATTGCACAACCTAACTACTGTGGGAACGCTACAGGAAATTCTATCAGCACAAACCYCTAAGTGATGAAGAAAAGCATTTCTGTGGTAGAAACTGTTTCAGTTAGGACTTGACTAATGCTTTTCTGTTTGTTTTGGTTTTTCTGTCCTAGCCTTCTTTTGGGTTTTATCTCTAATCTCTGCAAGGTGCATTTTGACAACTGATCTTTGTCCCCCCCAAAAAAACTTTCCCTGACGAATTCCTGAATTTGGAACCCAGAACATTTTTTTACCATTTGTTGTTACACTCAAATGAATAAAATTGCTATGGGACACAAAATGTAAAGTGTCAGTTATTCCTAAACTGAAATTTTCTAAAATGAGCAGGTA